ATATATATATATATATATATATATATATATATATTTACTATTTCGATATACCAACCTTTCACGATGTAGTAAACAAATACGTTCCTTTGCGACCTTCAGCCTCTTCGAGATGATCTTCTTAAGGTTCTCAACAGTATCAGTACGATCGACTGTAAGGTCAAATTGTCCACCGGTGGTCGGCGTGATGCTAATAGTAATTTCGTCAGGTTCGAGGACAGTGGCAGCAACGCAGCCACACCCCGGCTGCAGTGGCGGTGTGGAGGAGGAGGACGATAACGATGACGACGAAGAAGACAATGAAGAGGAATTTGTAGGGAGTGGAGAAGCTGAGCTAGCCCTTATTGAGCGTTGATTGCAATATTCTGTTGGTTGATCGGATTGCGTCGTAGAATATGTGGTACTGGAGGTAGTCGTCCCGGATGATGCAGTATTAGTCATATCATTAGAATTTCGTTGAGTCTTTGATCTTTCATTATTCTCACTATCCATTGCTGTCACGTCTGACGGTGGATCCGTGTTACCGTCCATTCTGCAACTATCGACACCAATGGAACCGTGTCGCCAACTTCGCACACTTCGTTCAAACCCACGTCTTCGCGTCCCGTACGACTATACTATACACGCACCCGCACCTGCACCTGTACTCCCGGCGTCCTAGCTATTCGACACACACTCGTTCACGTCGCACAATCGCAGTGCCGCGAGGTCTGGCCACGGTGTCTTCGGGAACGCGAACGCCACGAGGAACGATTTAGCGAAACACAATGATGGCAAGGAGAGACGAAGAAAGAGAAACGATCAGACAGTCAGATAAGTGGAGAAACATAAAGAAAGGGAAAGGCAAAGCAAAAAAGATGGAAATGGATTAGATGAAAAAAAGGAGATTTATAAGATTCTTGAAGATATATATGACATACTGTATGTGATTAATTCTAGGAATATATTCAAAAATAATTTTCTTTTAAATTATTTTAACTCACTGACACTATTTTTTTCTTATTACTATATATATACATGCTATAATTCTTTTTTTTTATTAATTACAAATATGCTCCATGTTTTATTTTTGTCTTCTCACACACACTGCGTTTTAACTTAACAAGTTGTATAAGAATTTAGTATCAATTGAACAACTACACAGCCTCAACGTTTGCTAACAATTTCCGAATAGCTTCCCCGACAGATCAACGGTCAACCAATATGGCAACGTCAACTCAGGCAGACGTCTGAATTTTGAAAGAGCGGGAAATTTAAACAGGTTCAAATATTCTTTCGTATTTTAATTTTAATTAATTTTATTAAATAATTTTTTCTTTCAATATTACTTATGAAAATAATATTATTAATAAATATTGAAAATTTTATTAAAGAATTTCTTTTAATATGTACAATTTTTAAAAGTTGATAATAAGCAATATAATAAGCTTTTATATCATCTTTATTTCACATTCTTATTGTCCAGCAATTTGATATAAATTCTGGCAATTTATTTAATGTGATCAACACATAACAAATCATAATTTTATTACTGACTATTAAAATGGAAAATGATTTAAATTATATTCAAATTACGATATTTTACATTCATTCAAAATTAATTAGATACTTTTAATGCATATATGATACAATTTAACATTTTGTATGATGTAAATTTGAAAAATTGTATCAAAAATATATTATTTTTATGATAGCTTAAATTTATATCCGGAAAATTATGTTCCCATAAATTTTTCTCCCTTTTTTCAATAATATTAGAAGAAATGTACAATTATTTAAATCACATATTAATTTTTTTTGAATTAATTACATTAAGGCCTAAATTGCAGTGTATTTTTATATAATATTTTTTGTTATTTCTTATCATTTTTCATAAAAAAATAACAATATAAAAATATATAGTATATAAAAATACAGTATATAAAAATATACAATATGAATATTCATAAATCTAGATTCTAACCAAAGAAAGATACAATACATACAATATATATAGAGATATGCTATACACTGCAAATTTACATTTAAATTATTCGAAATTAATCGAATATAAATTGATAATCTCTTGCATTATTAAAGTATTATTAAATGCAAGGAACATGGAAATTCACGATCCAAATTCTTTTGTATCCGGTTCGATAGTTTTAAATTCATAATTACCTCTTCCATCCATTCGTAAATAATACTAAAAACAAATATTAATATAAATTAAATATTTATTAAATGATTTTTAAATAGAAAATTTTTTGCAAACCTCATGATGTTTCCAAAGAGACCGTCGATGTGATACTGTGAATAATGTAATATTAGTTTGTTTACAGTACAAGTACATTGAATCTTCGACATCAACACTAACAGCACTTGTACATTCATCCAAAATTGCAAATTGTGGTTTATGATAGAAAAGTCGTGCCATCTAAAAAAATTATGTATAATTAGTATTATAAATAAATTTTTGCAATCAATAACAATCTGAATGAAAAAATCTTTTCATTCTCATAATAAATAAAAAAACATTGTATGTACAGCTATACGTTGTTTTTCACCACCAGACAAAACATCCATCCAATCAGCTACAACATCCCAACCTTGCCCTTCACTACTTGTAAGATTTTCTCTTTCTAATAGATGACCCAATTGAACGAGATCTAATAATTTCTTCAAATCAGCATCAGTCATTTGTCCGCGTCGTATCATTTCCGTCTTGGTATGAGGATAAATTATTTGATCTCTTAGTGTACCCAAAGTCATATAAGGACGTTGAGGAATGTAGAATAATTTTCCTCGAGGAGGTTTGGTAATTGTTCCATTCCAAACTGGCCATAACTGTTTTAATTTAATTTTTCATAAAAAAATAACAATATAAAAATATATAGTATATAAAAATACAGTATATAAAAATTTGATACATGAAGAGCATAAAATAATAATTAAATTATCATTGAGAAAAAATTTGAGCATTATTTAAATTTGAATTGAATTTTTATTTGAATAAAATTTTCAAATAATCTTTTAATAAATAGAAAGAATAACGAATAATTTTTTTATTGTTTAAAGATTCATTTATATAAATTTACGAATAAGTATGTCGCAAAAATTAAAATCAAATCGATCTTTTTCGATCTAACGTTTGATCTATGATTGAGAGATAAATATTAAAAAATGAAATATCTCTATTTCTCAATTTATCATTTTATAATAATATATTTGCTATAATATATAATAATATATAATGATATTTCCTTGAGATCAAATACAATCTAAATTGGATAATTATAATTTGAATAAAATTTGCTTAATTTTGATTGAAAATATCATAAAAACTTACTTCTCCAAGAATTCTAAACAAAGAACTTTTTCCACAACCATTTGGACCACAAACTAACACATTCATTCCTGATTTAACTTCAAATGATAGTTCTTTGATAAGAATATCTCCATTAGGTGTTATCAGAGGTACATGGTCGAATTTTATGATATTGTCTTTGTTTATTATTTTTCCTATACCCGGAATTCCAATCGGATCATTTTTGAAATCAGAAATCATTGTTCTTTTATATTTTCCTGTTTTTAAATCATTAAGAACGATCTTTATCTCACTAACTCTTGCAGTAAATCCTGCCAATCGCGTCATTTCTCTTCCAGCTAAAACTAATCTACCAATAGCTTCTGCCAATTTTACTAACATACGACCATATGTATAATAACTCCTAAATCGATGATTAGGAGTTCCTGAGAGAATAGAATGATTTTCTATGAAGAAAGGTAAACTCACTGCGTAGAAACCAATTACAGTTCCCATATCTGAAGAAAAGTATCAAATTAAAATTATATTAAGTATAATCACTATAAATAAATAATTACAATATAATATATATAAATGATATCTTACATTTACCAACAAAATTATCAATTATTCCTATGAGAGTTCTGAATTCTAGATATTTGCGAAGATGTGTTACCTAAAAAAAAAAAGTATTTTTTTTTTGTATTATATTAACGTATTATATTAACGTTTTTTTATATTATTATATATTAACGTATTGTATATATTGTATATATTAATTAATATATTAATTTTGTATATATTTATAATTTCAATGTTAATTGAAATAGAAAGTAAGCTTGAGTTTTATATAATGATTATAATGATAAAATTTTAATAAAATATTTGATATATATTTTCTACAACTTACAAGTTTATGAAAACTAGTTAACAAAATTAATTTTTCTCGATTATTTCCTTGGTAAAATGCTATTTCCTCAGAATTAGTGATTATTCTTGAATTAATATGACGATATTCACCCTCTAAATGTTGTTCTTTTATTGTCATTTGACTGATAGGTTTACGCAAATGAGTTATTATCATTCCAGCAAAAATGAGATATGAAAGCATAATTACTGGAGTCTGCAAAATCCATATATATTATTATAAATATATTATATTTATACTTATAATCTATATTTAATTATATTATACATACTTCACTACCAAGAGTAGATGTGAGCCTATAAACATAAATGATAATATCTAATAAAGGTTTTGTAAGATTACTATATAGATCTGTACAACTTTCACAAAATTTATCAACATCAGTAGTTAAAAGTTGATCTGGATTTGCTATACGGTTATCTAAATTATTCATTTTGTAATAAATAAAACCACTGTAACAATAATAAATATTATTTTTTATTTTTTTATAAATGAAAACTTATTAATAATTTATGCATTATTTATTATATTTATTATATTATTATTATTATTTGTTATATCATTTTTTAAAATCTATAAATATTATAAAAAATTACGTTTCTAAAAATTTTATTCTATTATTTATTATTATTAAATTGCTAAAAAAAAGGAAACTTACTTAAGATATTGATCCAATAAACTTCGTGTAATATTTGTGCGTAACCTTAGCTTCATTTCGTATATACTATATTTCAGTACGTTGTTCACAATAGATATCTAAATAAATATAATCATGGAAGATTATATCAATAATTTCTTCCAATTGGTAAGAAAATAAAGCTGCTTGGCAGCCTGAATGAAAAGATTTCATTAGCAGCCTCTGAAAGCAACTTCTAATTTTTTTTCATTAAATTTATTCACTTACCATTGGTAATACAGCTAAGAATTTAAGTAGACGTCTTTTAAATAAAGATTTATCCATTTTAAGAATTGATCTATAATATAAAATAAAATTGGCTAAATTTTAAGTTTTATAATTTTATCAAGATTAAACAAAGATTGAAGTAAATTACATACGATTCAATTAAAGTGCTCATATTTATCATCCAGAGATCACAAAAAGATTTTGTAATAAGTGTACCTGCGATAAGGAGAACAAAGGCAAATTCAGAAGATACTATTGAGGGTATACCAATTTTAAGCAATTGATATAATTGTCGAAAAAATCTCGCATTTACATGAGCTTTAGGTCCTTTTGGTTTTTCCTGGAAAGATTATTTACAGATATTTAATATTCAAAATATATAATAATAAGAAATCATTTTCTTACCTCTTTAATAATATATTGTATATCTTCAACAGGCCAAATATTTCTACAAAATGAAGTGAATGTTTAATACTACACGATAATTAATTACATGTATATATACGCACAAAGAATTTATTTGCAACCTGTATTTTGCAACCTGTTTCCGGTTTCTTCTTTTTAATATCCATATTAATGTAGATAATGTACAAATACTAATCACTGTGCGTTTAGTCACGAATTTACTAAGTGTTAACGCCATTCTTTCTACTATGAAGGATCAACTAAAAATTCACCGTCTTTTACGACGGTCTCGACACTTCTACGTCCAGTTTAAACATAAAGCGAACTTGTAGTGGGGTGGTCATCCGATGAATCAGCCATATCGATAAGTTAGTTTCGTTTGTCACTCCATCATTATTATTCGTCAATTTCACCATTTTTTTTATGTTAATATTTTTATATGTATAATAATTAAAAACTATTAACTTTTTCTGTGCATATCTATTATTGAAGAAAATTAATAATAATCTTTCTATTATACAATTTTATATTCATGAATTTCTGATTAAAGATTATTAAAATAAAAGAATATACATATATATATATATATATATATATATATAT